CTAATAAGTGCAAGAATGAATAAAATGTTCTAAAATTGATTGTGTTGATGATTGCATTACTCCTTTTAATATATCTAAACCACTGAATTGTATGATATATGGATTATATGTCAATAAAACTTAAAAAAAACAAACAAATATAATCTCTAAACTGATTTGCTCTTTTGTCTTCTTTTCTCTAGTTTTGTTACATATACCTGATTCTCTTAAGTGTTAAATGTATTATTTGGCTGCTGTAAAAAAGAACAAAAACCATATTACATGTGCTCTTTTCAAGATAGCATTGCTTTTGCTTAAAATTAGGGTTTTGGTACTTATTACCAATTATTTTATTTTCATATTCTCTAATATAGTCTAAGTTATTTGATGGATCAGAACAATACTGCTATAAATAGTTCTGTATTTTAATTTTGTATAAATGTGCAAGAAGGCTCTAGAGTATCAAGTTTGCTAATGCTGTTCAAGTCTCCTATATTCTTACTAATGTTTTATATGACTGAGCTATTAAGTATTGATAATTTTCCTACTATGATTATGGATCTGCTACCTTATGAGAGTTCTATCGGATTTTGTTTATGCCCTTCAAAGCCAAATTATTATGTGAATTCAAGTGGAGAATTGATTTATTTTCTGGCTGAACTAAACCTTTCATCAATATTTAATAACCACTTTTAACTCCAAAAATAATTCCTGTTTGAATGTGTATTTTGTCTAGTATTAATCCATTCATATCTATTTTCCTTTGAACAGAACCCTCCTGGCACGTTGTATCATCCATGTCAACGTTCTCAATCTTTCGGAATTCTAAATAAAACACAACTGAGTCTTATGTAACCATTCGAACAGACTATATTTTCATGAGCATGGAGACCATTTTATAATTATTGTCATTACTAATTTATGTGGATATACTTTGACCACTTTAATTTGTGTTTTTTAAATTCTTTTGTTTCTTTTAAGCCTCCATTTGGGTCACTGGGGCAATGGCTAAATTTTCGCCTTTCATTTCTATTTGTTTCCCTTTCTTGTTTAGAGGATATATGTTCCATTTCATTTTAATTTATGTGGATATACTTTGACCACTTTGTGTTTTTTAAATTCCTTTGTTTCTTTTAAGCCTCCATTTGGGTCACTGGGGCAATGGCTAAATTTTCCCCTTTCATTTGTATTTGTTTCCCTTTCTTGTTTGGAGGATATATGTTCCATTTCATTTTTTAATATACATACCTAGTGATTTCTGAAGTGACGCCCTCATCTCAACTTTCTTTTAATAATATAAACCCTTAAGAGCGATGTAACTCTGATCGTCCCACTCCTATTATTCCAATAGTCATCTTTAGATTGTTTTAATCACCAGAAATTACTCACATTATATTAAACACTTTCCATATACCTTCCTAAATGTTTATCCTTTTTCCCCTCAACCGTTCTTTTTGCATCTCAGAACTGTCCTCTGCGATTATTTCCCCTTTCTAAATCATTATGTTCAAAGTTTTAGTTAGGATCTCAGGCTTTAAAAAACAAACAAAACAGAAGCCTACTCCTTTATGATGGAAAGAGATGAGGCTGTTTGCTACTGTAAAGAATTACAGTCTTGGAAACCCTGTAGAAAATATTTATACTGTCCTGTTGGAGCCTTGGTGGCATAGTGGTTATGCATTGGGCTGCTAACTGCAAGGCCAGCAGTTCGAAACCACCAGTCACTCCACCAGAAAAATACAGGACTTTCTGTCCCCATTAAGAATCTTGGAAACAGCGACAATTCTACTTGGTTCTACAGGGTCACTGTGAACTGGCATCAACTCAAGGGGAGTTTGGGTTTTTGGTTTGGGTCGGGTCACTGTGGGTCAGAATCAACCAGATGGAAGTGGGTATGGTTTTTGGGTTAAACTTGCAACCAATTTTATCTCTCAAAACAAAGCAAATATCCTTAATTTATATTCTTTATTTACAAGTTTTTAGGTTCAATTATGTAGCTCATTGCTTTTGTCGATTCTCATTTTTGGTGACCCATTTCTTCCCATGTTTTGTAATTGTTATGTAAGAATTCAAGAATTCTTGGAAACACATTTTCAAATTCTTTTGAGGATTGATTGAAAGGTATGCTCCTTCATCAGAGGATTTGGATGGCCCCTGCCAGGTGTCTACAGAATATATGTCTGCTTATTGAAGCCACCCACTTATATTTGTCACAATAGCACTAGATCACAAAAACAGATATACTGGTATCAATGAAAACAGAAAAGTTGCTGAGACTGCCTATCACCAAACCAAAGCTTCACAGGATGTGGTTTCTTGTTTTGGAGGATCAAGGTCATGATTTTGTGGGACGTCCCAGCTAACTGATCTAATTAATGTTTAGTGTTTCTGTTCTACCGCCTGGTTTGATATGTACTGCTTAGAGTTTTAAAGGTTTGCAGTAAATCATCCCATAAATGGTCTCTATTCTCCTAGGACAGAGGAAGGAGAATCAGGAATAAGGAGAAGGATGCGAACTGTGCGGCTTACTGCCTCCATGTACAATTTTCTCCTTCGCCATGAAGAACTGAAGAACTAGGTGATGCCTAGCTATCATCACTCAACATTCTGTTCAAAGACTCCAATGCGGAAATGCAGAGCAGAACTGAAAATTCCCAGAGACTCCACAACTCTTGGAACCACCAAGTTTGGATGAATAAGCTGTAGGCCATTAAACCAAAAATATCCCCAGGAGTCTTTTTAAAATCAAGTAACAGTTTAGTTTCACTAGTAAAAAGGGTCTGTCTTTGAGCATTATGCTCTTTTACGAATTCTCTCCGTGGGGTGAAACTGACAACAGCTGCTCCAGAGCTGGGGCAGGATTAGGTTGAGAAAAGAAAGAGTGAAATGGCCGAGGAACTCAAAGAACGCAGAATCGTGCATGTAGACGGTTTTGAATTGGTATATGTTTTCCTATGTATTCTTAAACAACCAAATAACAAGTATTTTAAAAAGAAAAAGAGGACAATTTTAAATTATAATATGCATTCTAGTTGTAAAATTCACTGCCATTGAGCCCATTGTGATTCACGGAGACCTAATAGCGAGAGTAGAACTGTCCGTCTGGTTTTGAGACCGTAACTCTTTGGGGAACGTTCTCCTGCAGAGTGGCTGGTGGTTTCAAACTGCGGACCTAGAGGCTAGTCTTAACACCAATTCCAGCTTACAGTTCAAACTTTGAAAGACTTTCTTTCCCCTCCTCCATTCAAACAAGTCAGCTCCTCCCTCTGCTATTGTTTTTCCAGATACACCCCACTCTTGACCTCTAGGTTTTACTACAGCACCCTTAGCACTCCAACCTTGAAGAACCAGTTTAAAGGCAGACTGCTTCAGATTGAGAGGAGTCAGGTATCAACAATGACTCCTGGGAAGCAAGGCTAGATAGAGCCTGTTTACCTCTTCACTCGCATTATTTTGGTTTTGCCTTTGGTAAATATTTCTCACCTTTCCACAAACTCAGTTCTGATTTTCAATTATATATTCATACTTTTTTTTTGCATCTTAAGTGTAGGTACTTGGAGAATTCTCAAGGCATACAGTCCAAAATACTTACAGAAATTAAAACCCTTCTTTAAGCTTTACTATTTACCAATCTCCCATTCCTTATTTGCAGTGACTGATTAAAAGCAGTTAGTGGTTTTGATTTGAAAATAATTTTTCAGAAAAGTTTTTACGGTAACTTACCTTATCTGCCCTCCCCATGAAAGCAGGCTTGCCTGCTAATCCAAGGCAAATGGCACACACGATGCTGGACTTCCCCGTTCCGTTAGCTCCAATAATCATATTCAAGTGCGGCCCAGGAGACACTTCACAGATATCATATGTTCTGGATTACAAAGAGGGGAAATGACGATCCAGAGTCATGATGAGGAGAAGAACAGCTTCTTTACAAAAGCATGCATTCTTGCTTTGTATTAACATGATCTAAAGACATCCTCGACACTCCTTTAGAAAGCCAACTAACCTTACACATTAAATGTTTTTATAGGTAGTTAGTAAATTAAGAGAAACTCTCTATCTGTGGAAGTAATTAAAAAAACGTCAATGCACCTATAAAATAAGCACATCCATAGTGGGTTAACCACAAGGCCAGCTGTACACGCCAAGAGACAGAAAGAGGAGGCTTCCTACTCCAGTAAGGAGTAGTCTTGGAAATCTAGAGGGCAGTTCCTGGTAGCACATCTATTGCTAGGATAACATCATTTGACATGCTTTTTCCAAAATCATGTCTGTTGGGTACAGCAAGATTTGACATAACTTACTATTTTTAATAATTACAGCATATACTAAAATATATCAAAGTTACTACAGGAACTCGAAGGTGTTTTTTGTTCTGTTTTGGTAGGGGAGGGAATTTACTGTGCAAAACTAAATAACTGTTAAGAGAAATTATGACTTAGTTTAAATCTGTAAGTTTTTATGTGAATATTTATTTAAAGTGGCCAATAACAAATTATCATATTTTAACATTTAAAATAATCCAACAAGTAATTTGTGTTCTAATTCAAACTAAGTATTATTTCTTGGGAGACACAGGGAAAGTAGGGGTCGGGCAGCAGACATGGTGTGATGGCATGTGGCGCAGAAGCCCCTTTTCCTAGGAATGTGATTAGTATCGCGTGGATAACCGTGACTCAGAAAGGTTTGCTTTTCAAACAAGGCTTGAAGAATAAATACTGTGTCTAAGTGATACAAGAAAACCAAAATATTATCTATCATGCTGAAGTTTGAAAAACCAAAAAAGAAGTACAACTTTCATGCCCCTCAGTTTGTGGTCAGAAACTTCACTACAGGATCTATTGGTAGTGCATGAGCAAATAAATCTTACTCCTAGGAGAAGAAACGAAAATGCATCCCCAAGCACTTCTCTGATGGCCCCTCACACCAGAAAGCTAAATGCTCCAGATTAGAACAATAACTACCTGAGATTCAACTTACTGCCACTGAGTTAATTCTGACTCATAATAAACCTATAGGACAGGATAAAACTGACCTTATGGGTTGCCAAGACTAAATCTTTACAGGCATAGGAAGCCTCCTGTGTCTCACGAGGGGCAGCTGGTGGTTTTGAACTGCTGAACTTGAGGCTAGCAGTCCAATGCATAACCTACTTCACCGCCAGTTCTCCTTTGTGCAACAGTAAGCATCTAATGCTCATTAGTCACTTCGGCCAATTATGGCAAAATGTAAAACAACCCCTGACCCAGAGATTCTTCTAACTTATCTTTGAATACCCTGACGTGGAACCCATAAAGCAGCTCTCCAGTAGACGTCATCAAATTCCACAAGCCCCCCCACCCCCAATCAATGCCTCACTTGCTACTATTCTGCTAACTAGATAAATAATTTAACCACACACACTTCAATTGGATACCCCAAGAAGCTAATCATTTAAAAATTCTGGCTGGTAATAAAAACAAATAGTAGCACAGCAAATGAAGAGTATTTTCTGACAGGTTTCCCAAAGCCATGCTTCTCAATTCAAATTAGACCAAACGATCTAATTTATCTTTCAGGTGTTTTACTGCTTACCACCTGTGTCTTTAGTTGACCACTAAGGCATTAAATTAATATTCCACATCAACTCTGTTAAGATTTTGATCACACACACACAAACAAAAAGGGTTGAATGAAAGTGGTAGAATTTCTGCCTCAATGAGTGGGTTCAAGTACTTATAGGTTAAATTTCAGGTTCACAAATGATTAAAATAAAACTAGTTGGAACATCTGACATTTGGAAAATTCCCTTAGGTGGAATTCTTAAATTTCACATACTTGCCCTCTTCTTTAAACACCTGAATTTCTAATGAAATTTTTACATACCAGGTCTGACTGGAAAGAGAGATGCGAGCGAGCGCTACTTAAGGCCACAGAAAAGAGCTGGAGACTCTGGCCTCCTACAGAGATTCTACACAGGGAGGGCTGCGGGAAGCAGAACAGAGCTCTGTATCTTTCTGTGAGCTCCTCTTCTCTAGCCACCCCGAGAACTCTTGTCGAATGTTACCCCTTTATTACTCTCTATCTTGACATCTCACGAATTATACCTGGTATCAGCCCAGATGACTACACTCAGTAACACAGAAAGACTAGCTTAAAAAAATAAAAAGTATTTCGACTACTAGAGTTCTGGTTCACACAGGCATGGGTTTATTCCAAACAAACATGTTTTCTGCAATGGCTACAGACAAGTTCTCTTAGTAATACATTTGTCTTAATCTTGCTAGGGGTTTTATTTTTTAAATGTAACTTTTTGTTTTGGGTGAAAAAAATGATTTGAGATCAAAAATTGGATCAAATATTTAACAAAACTCAAATGGATATATTCCCAAACTATTGAAGCTTTGCAACAAGTCTGCAGGAATGCTGCCTCACACAAAACAAGGTTTTGGACGGATCAAGCCCTCGGAGGAAGGCTGGGAAGAGCTCCGAGAATTGGACAACTGAAGAAACTGTGGCTGCAATTCAGGGACGGGGACCGTGGAGGACTAGCATACAAGAAGTTCCCTGGGAAACTGCGATGGCTAGGGGGTTTTTGTGGTGCCAAACCAGCAGCGGGAAGAAGACATGGATGGAGTCTAGTTTGTGGATCAGGTTGCAGCCTGGTAACATCCCTTGGAGGCGTGGCCTCAACATATAATGCTGTGGACTTTGGCCTCTTCTCTCCTTCCCGCCGGTTAGGACCCAAGTGTTACCTGATCAGGTACCTCCCCGCGCAGCACCACCTGTTGGCTACCACTAGACTCGCTGCACCACCAGGCAGTTAACCTCACATTGCCACACCATGAGGTCCCTCCTTGACTTGCTTCTCCTCTGGGTGCTACTGGCCACCGCCACACTTCATTCCGCCTTCCTAATTCTTTGGCCTTTGGGGGCTAGTGGCCGTGAGAGGGCAAGAGCTTGAGTATATTAACTGCCCTCTGAAAAGGAGTCGGACTGAGCTCCTGTACTGCTGTATGGGCTGCTTTGCTGCCATAATTCCCATTCACTATAGAAACTTAGAATTTTTTCAAAGGTATGTATTTAAATCTTTTTTTTTTTTTTACAAAACAACCTTATCACCTTC